TGCAATTCCTATTTCATTCTAGTCCCTTCGGACAATTTCTGACTAGCTCCTCCCTGAGAGAAGAAATAGTTGAATACGGTGGCCGATAGGAAAAAAAAACAGAAAACCCAAAACATCCCAAAAGAGAATCGCAAAACCCAGCTGAGAATCACAAAACTCAAAACAGAATCACAAAACACAAAACAATGGCAAACTTGACACTGTGTCACCAAAAGAAGTGCATTGCCTTATTTCGAGTCTGCATTAAAGGGTCCCTCTCAACCAGTGTGCTTTGCGCGAGTTTTATTTTCATCCTGGATAACCTCAGTTGGTGCGAGGCTAAAATGCTAAAGCGACACCAATAAATTCAAATTGCGCAAGTACGTTTGAGATGTAGGCCCTATACTGGCTTACTAGGGGTGTGGGAGTAAAAAGAGAGAGAAGGAAAAATTTTCCAGTGAAAATAAAAGATACGATCGTCATGACGTTCGAGATACGTTTATCAAGGACTCGTAGTAATGAAGCCTCCTCGAACAGATTGGAAGGGTTAAGCCTTTTAAGATTACTTCACTTAATTATGTTTTTTGATAAGTTTTTTTTGCACCACTCACCTTTAGATGGACACGTTAGGAAATTCGGTTTAGTAGTCGAATGTATCGCAGTTTTTTTTTTTGTTTAGAAGAACAGATACCCCCTTGTACGACCGAAAAAATGGTCCAAGTCATGAAAGTTTCAAAAGTCTAATATCCCGAAAACGTCACAGAAATTGACTTCCCTTTTTATTGTGCAAATTAAAGATCTCATAAAATTAGAAATACTTTTGTCTAATCTCCGATGTCCAGGTGATAAATATAAACCCCGTAATACGATGATTGACATGATAGGGGCATCGGCTTTCAAAACGTCGGATCAAATCTTTCTATAATCTTGATTGTGGACCGACCTTTGTGTGTTATGTCTTATTGTATAGTTATTACGCGCTGAGATTTGCAACAACACACTTATCTTATCCAGAGGTACAAATTTCAAGAAAATTGAACTCGTGAGGGTTGAAATTTTGGTCAGCAGTTATATTTTTCTTGCCGTGATGCTGGCGTCATTCGGAGAGAGAGAACGAAGGTCAGTTTATTACTTTGGTATTGTCTATTTACCTAAATTAATCTTTGTCTATGTATATAATATTCAAGCTGCCTGTCTGAGGAAATCACTTCGTGATTTAGTCTACAAGATACCAACTACTTGATGTATTCAAATATTCAACTCAATAATTTTCATTCAGATCTTATCATATAAGACTGTTTACTGCTGGTTAATAGGGAAGTTCCAGTCATGACCATTATCTAGAGTGGGGCTAAATTGATCCGCTTCTGTAGCTGGGCTGTAGTTTCTGTTTCGATTGAGGTGTTCAGTAAGCAATCATCCTGATCGACCGGCCGCATCGTTTAGTCCGACGTTGAGAGGTTTTTTTAATGTGTTCTACAAAGCCGACTTCCCTAGCGATTCTTTTTTTTCGGTACTTGATGTAACACTTTAACAGAGTCAACGGGATCATATTATTTGGTGATGTTTCTGTCTGCCTTAGATCGTGCTTTTATACGACATGTTTTGAATTTCATGTGAGTCAAAAACCTCCAGACTGCTCCCATAGATTCGTTTTACGGGCCACTAGGTATTAAGGCCGACGAAATGTATTCGTATATTTTTTTTAAAAAATATATAAAATAGCAATGACATCACACTCGGCATCACAGAAGGTGATAATTAACCACTATTAGAAGATTTTTCAAATTCATTTTTTATATAGCCTGCGAAAACATCTGTTTCTCCTCGCTCTTTATACGACAACTTTTCAATTTATTATCCAGCATCATAAATTCTTACGCATTACCAGGTTGCATGATAATATAGTAGAGTATGCTTTTCACGTCTGAGTATTTTGCCCACGTGATTCCCTTAGTTCCTGACGCAAATCTCAGTTTCATGTAGCTCCGAAAAAAGAAAATATGTACATCCCAAATATCTACGTTTCTTAATTTGCCTCAACTGCGTTCGCATACTATACTTTAGATAACATACAATCAAACAATGGACAAGGTTTTTCTCTTTCTAGATGTCGGTTCGGTTTATTCGGCTCGAGGGGGCGGTACCCTGTACCCTCAGGCTAATTTTGTACTAGCCTGCGCGCAGACGAAATTAAACTAATCAGACTTAAGTCAGGGTTATCGTCTGCAGGCTAATTTTGTACAGGCTGAAAATTCTTTTGACGGGACGATCAGTCTCTTATTTTCTTCAAAGTCACTGTAGTAGGCGCTAGCCACGAGAAACTAGGGCGTAAGCCCGAGAAGGAAAGAAAAAACGCTAAAAACGTTTTTGTAGGCGTTTTTAGTGCCTACTCGCTAACCCAGTCTGAGAACTCGACGGATCTAAGTGAAAAGGCGGACTGGAAGCAGTCTAGCATCTACATGAGGGTTGTTGTATGATCATGCAGTTTTTTTTTTCAAAATTCCGTTTATTGTTTGAAGCATTTCGACCACGTAAAACAGGACTTCATTTTCTGAAGTTTCGTTGCTCCCGGAAATTTTCTACTGGAAAGACCCGAAAAGTCTTGCTTCATTTATTTTCCAACCGGACTTGCCGGAAACTTGTAAATGGTAAACAACTTGTTACTTCTCTGAGGCTTTGAATATTCATTTTATGTAGATCTCTGATATTCTTTGGGTTATCCGGGGTTGCCATAGTAAACGATCATTTTGTTACGAAATCAGGTAAAAAAAGTAATAACAACGTTTTGTAAAACTCGGCCAGAAATCAAATCCCGTTTATCGGGATTTGACAAAACACGGTTTGCGGTTTTCTGACAAAACCGCAATGGAAAAGAAATATAACTGTCCAATTAATGTATGCCCTCCAACTAAAAACTAAAAAAGAAACTGAGACTATATTTAGAACTGACGAATGTCGGGCCGAGCAAGAATACAAAGCCTCAGCCCACATGGCCTATTGTTTGTGTGTTTTTTGACAGATTTCAATATAAACAGGTCAAATGGTTTGTTTAGAATATCAAGGGTTTGAGGACCGTTATATCAGTTCGTCTTGCTTTGCTTAATTTATTGAGAGTCCACAGAAAGTGAAATCCTGCGAGCGGCGGCTATTCTGCTTTCGAAAGAAATAGAGAAGGGTCGTAGAATGGCACAGGCACCTGTAAACATGTGTCCATGTGTTTGTTTTTTCGAAGTATACCAAAAAAGTACCTGTGATACCTTCTTCTACCTAAGAGTAATATATTTTGTTTTGATATTGGGCCTGAAATTGTAAGAATAATATTGCGGAACCTACAGAATAATCAATTTCCTGTTCTCGCCTTCAATATACAAACACACAAAGCCTCGTTAAGTCATGTAAACTTGTCAATACTGGCAGGTGATTGGTTCTTTTTCACTAAGTGGGTGACGTTTTTCCGTACAGAGTGAAAACTTGTCGCAAAATACTTCTCATTTGCATAACTGTGCCTTTGTCAGCGTGCATCTAGACAAATTTTTCGATTGACCCACCGTGCTTCAAAGGCCTGACCCAAACACCGTTCATCCGTGTGAATTTGTTTCTCCAAACTCGCGGCGTTTTGTTCCTGTTCCTTTTGAACAGATAAGGTAAGTACTCGGTTTATTTCCAACCGATTTGGTTGATCGGGTCTAAAAGTTTGCAACTTGGAGTACAAAGTTTAAAGTTTTCTTTGCGTCGAGATTAATTTGATGAAGAAGGAAACGATTGTTTTGCGCAGCTATATGCAGGGATTATATCTAAGACCCAAATGTTCTTGGGTTGTAAGTCAAAGTTTTTTCGATCAAGTCGGAATGTAGGTTAGCGGAAGTGCGCGAAAGATTTCAAGTGCTAGTTCGTGCGCGAAGTAGTGGATGTATTGAATAGGATAGCAAAGGAGTAATACAGCCGTTTCTGTGACGTATTTCTCACTTTTCTTTTGTTTAGCACGTTCTCTCATTTGCGTTCATGTGTTTTTGTGGCCAAAGATAGTCTATTTCCGTGTAAGCGAACAAAATAATGTGATGCACGAGATGCCTGGCAAAATATGGTTGCCGAGCTGTGTTAAAGATAATTTCTTGCCCCGAACAGACCTATTGAGAAGGGTGTTAGGATAGAAATAGCGGCGAGTTTTGATTAAAGATGTACACATTAGACACTCTTGCGGTAGAAAGAGTATCACTTATTTGCGTGAGAATAATGTTTCTCTCCTTGTGCGTCAGCTTGGAAAGGGTCGAGAAGTTCAACTTTAAGTAATGACGCCATGACGTTATGAGTCGAAATTGCTCTCCCTTTACATTGATGTAACTAAATGTTTTCATGTAACTTCATGCAAATAGGATGCTTAGAAAGACTTGATCAAGAACAACTCTTTTGTTGACAAAACTAGCAGCTATGTGGTCGCAAAATACCATTTTTTGATTAAAATATATATTTGCAAATATAATAATTGGCAAACATTTTCAGGACAGCAGGTTAAAACGTGAATCTAAATGCGCCGCGCAATTGAGCGACATCCACTTGATACCAGTCACGCTTCTTATCAGCTAATGTGTTTCGAATGAATAAATAGCCTTAAATATTAGCGAACGAAATGTTTGGACGTAAAAAAGCAGCCGCCTATTTGAACAAATTTCTTTTATAGAAAACAGATGGAAAGTGTGGTTACTCCCAACAGCATTACTTAAAGATTAGTATTTTAACAAGTCGCAGTGGTAGGTTCTCTTTCCTTTGATATATTTCTGCTTGATTAATAATGCAACGCTATGGTCGGGCGCACCCAAATGGTCAAAATATATTGGCATTGTTTGTTGCTAGGTTTTGATAGGTCCGGGTGTGCATATATCCCAGCCTGTTCAAAATGTAAATAAGTTCTCTTTCTTTTTTAAAGTAGACGCAGTCAGTCGTATATTTAGAAAAAATCTACCAGGCGAGACAAGACCGCAGCGAATGACCGAATTGCCGTACGTTTAAATATATAATTTCGCGCGGTTTCGAGAAGTTTTGGCCGACATTTTGTGTTATGACTGAACGTCGGGATGTGAGGTTTCCGTGTTTGTTGTGGAAGCGACGTCATGACTCGTATTGAGGAGAACTCGTAATTACAAAGCCTTCTTCTTTGCTGGCGCCCAAGGGAATGATTTGGAGACATACTTTGATTCAATTCGATGGCTGCTTCAAGTGGACCAAGTGAAAAGATAATTTGATGGTCAAAGCCACTGACACGTTCATTGAAGCTACTGTCGCAGTAGCAATTTCATCGCGGTTTCATAGAACATGGCTTCCTTCTGGGAAAAACTTGCGGAACCGTAAGTAAAATTGTATATATTTTGAACGCTTTCCTCATTGCGCGAGGAAAAGGCTCGAATCATAGAATCGATTGTACAATCTTAGAATAAAATGGTGTAACTCTCTTCCCTACTACATGTCAGTGATATAATATCGTATGAAATCGGTCGATTTCCACGTTTATCGGTTTTCTCTCTTTTATAAGTATTAGATAATATGGCAGTTAAATCTACATCGGAAAAGTCAGTACTTGAGATGAATGAGGAAATGTTACGTTGTTTTGACAGGTGAAGGCTTCAATTTGATTTGGCGAAATCAGGTTTGTTTTCTGAACTCGGTACGGTAGACGTCGGTCTAGAACACTCTAATTAACGAAAACTACTAGATTAGATTGCCCAAGTCTGAAACTTGTTTTTTAATGTCGCCTGGGGAAATGTCTCCCTGTTTAACGAACAAACGAGAGTTTTACTTGTAGCCCGTCGAGTAATGCGTCGAAGCCATAATTTTGAAAGGATCGTAGAAAAAAAATGTTTCACGCAGTGAAAGAGCGTTTTGCCAACGCGAAATTTGTACATACTGCGCGCGCATTTTTCCAGATTCTTCACCAAAAAAGAAAGGCTCAGATACAGGTAAGCACAATATTCAGCATTTTATCTTGAGTCATGCAATTGTTTACTGCGGAGACACCGAAACATTGTTAGTTTGTGGTTGGGGGAATTGTGTATTTACATTTTTACCTTGTGTCAACGAATATTTTAGCAAGAACAAATGTTATCAACTAGAATGTAGCGCCGGCATTAAACTGAAAAATTTGCTTCTCGAAAGCTACTGACCATTATTAATATTAGTTATTTCGGCAGGTAAATCGATTTTTTGCGCTAAAATATATGAGTTTAATTTTAGAAACTTTTGACATATTCAAACAAAAGGAAGTCTTGCTTGTTTTCGATAATTTCTAAATCAAGGCCTTTCTGGGTCTTGTTTGCTATCTTTGTTTGTCTTAACTATGAAGTACTTGAGTTCTTGAAAAGAGTTCATTGAAAGTGCATGATTTTTGCTGTCTGATATTATCATAAGAATTTGACACCTTTTCTTTTCAACTGAGATTTAATAACGCAATTTCTTTGTTTTGAAATTCTCGAGCATAATTTCCCAGGCCTACTTCTTTTTCTACGAAAATTGTTTGAGTTTTTTGCTGTTTTCTGACACGTGCCATTTTGAGGTGAAACTGACAACATTTTAACGTCTCACTTTTTGTTGTTAAATTAACTGGAATAACACGCCTTATTTAAATGTACAAAAAGAGTTTCAGTCGCGTGTGAAAATGATGAATTTGTGTTTCTTAAAGCATTTAGAAGGTTTCATTATTGTATCATACTGCATTTTGCATTGTTCGTTAGTAAAGAGGTCTCTGTTCGAGTAATCTTTGATTGTTTGTGTTGTGGTTCATTAGACTTTGTACAATTCGAAGTTTAATTGATGGACTTAACCACGTGCGTTCTATTCAATGCCTTCCGTAAATCAATTAAGATAAACGAAAGGAGCCTTGTGGGGGTTCTAATTAGAGCTTTACTTTTGAACCCTTTTCATTCCTAACAATGCATAAACCTATAATTAAATCAAGTTAACACATTTCAAGTTGTAAGAAATCAAATAGTAGAAGCGCCGGACTGTGCGGCGAAAGAACTTTCAAAGAGGTTTTCATTGGTGAATTTTCTTACCATGCGATTTATTTTGTATCTTATGTTATTACTGCATAAATTACTTTGCATCACTGTACAGCGTGACTTAGTAGGCCTATACTATACTGCTGAAGATGTAGAATAAACAAACATTTCTCCTTAAATTTGTCTTTTCTCATTACTTTACTTCCAGTACTACAGCTCGAGAATAGCATTTTGTTTTCCAAAACCTAACTTGTAACGTAGATAGTGCTTTTGTGTTTTTGGCTCTAAGTAAATTAAAAGAAAAAAGGGAATGCTTGTTTCTTTGCTTACTTGTTAGTAATGCTGTGATCGACACATTACAGCTAGCTATTTGCGATCATGGCCAGCTGTGTTAACCGCTGCCCTGTGAGTACAACTGGGACGTACAGTAATTGGCAAAACAATGCTGCTATAGTGTTCTGCCGGACCCGGCGGGAGTTGTTCACAAGCGTACAATCATGGTAAAAAATACCTCTGCAGCGAGGACACTGAAAGCCATACAATTCCTACCTTTATCTTCTAAACACCAATATTGAGTAGACTGGAATGGGTTTTCCTTTGGTGACTTCAGTGATTCTGATGTTTACTGTAGCAAAAAACAAAACAAGCGCACCATGAGAAGGTATCATTGAGAGGCTTATTTCAATGCAAACATAGTGTTGGTTACTCATATTGCAAGAACAATGTGTATCCGTAAATTAAAAGATTAACCCTTTAAGTCCCGATAGTGACCAAGATCAATTTTCTCCTAACAATATCCATATGTTACCAAGAGAAATGGTTGAGAGTTAATAAAATGATCACCTAAGAGAAAATGCTTTGATCTTCTACCAAATTCTCTCAACTTATTCCTTAACGAAAGGTATAAAGACCAGTTTGGAGAATTTGTATGTGGGTATTGGGGCTTAAAGGATTAAGATTAAACCCTGTTCATTTTGGTCTCATTGTTCTTATTTCGTTTCTAGTCTCCCTGATCCATCATCGTGCAGAGGACGCAACGCTTCTGCTATCTTTGGTGCTGGACCAAGCTTTGGCCTCACCCCAGTAGAGATCGTTCCCCAGTTTAGACCAGCCCCACCCAAAAGAACCTCAGAACCAAAGAAGGTCAAAAGGAGCCAAAGTGATGTAGGACTCAGGAAACGGCCCAATTTAAGGCGCAAGTCTGGAGACTTTAGCCAACTAAGGAAGCACAGCGAGACTGAAGCCAAGCCCTTAAACGGTGTGGTTTGTAACGGAGAAACTGCACTTGACTGCTCACGATCACCGGTATCAAACGGAAGTTGTAGTACCCATCAACCTAGTGATATCGTTGATTTTGCCCCAGATAATTGCCAGGAATCAGACGAACCCTCCAGTAGGTATCCATTGTTTATACAAGTCAAGAACAGTGCGCAAGATCAGAGTAAGGCGCGCATAGTAAAACCTGTTGGTAGGCCCTCAAATCAAGGCCCTAGTAAACAGGAAAACGCTCAAAGTAAACAACCAGTTCGGCCACGAAGAAGCGCCAGTTTTTCTACACCCAGGAAGACAAGTGAATCGAGGGCGCTTGGTGGTGCCCCATCTCGACCTTCGCAGGACACTGTTCGAAACGGCAATCTACGTCGCGAAAAGAGCGATATTGTTGCCAAACCTCGCCGTGCGCAATCTCCCGCTAACGTTTCTTCAATTCCGAGACCCGCGCGGTCAAACTCTTCCGCTAGTCTTAAACAAGACAAGGGTTTATTGAGTCCCCGATCAAAGTCACCAGCTGGTCTTCAACGCGAAGCCAGTGACTTAACAAGACGTCGTGCACCGTCAGGTTTAAGGCGAGAAAAAAGTGATATTGTCCGTTCAAGAGGCCAATCTAGAACTGACAGCCCGGTTGTAACTTCTGAAAATACCGTGAGCAACATAAGTCGGTCATCAAGTAACAAAAGTTTGCCTTCAAATAAACTGAGTAAATCACCGTCGAAAAGTTCAATCGAAGAAACTCGTTCCCGTTCTGGAAGCAGTTCAGAAATGTCAAAGATTCCATCTCGTATTCCTTCCCTGGCGAAACAAAATGGCGCTGAAGAGCGCACCCCTCCCAAGAGTAAGATCCCATCCCTGGGTAAAGCTGATAAGGGGCAAGAAACAGTTAAGAAATCGCAGATTCCTTCTGTAGGACGTAAAGACAGCACTTCACAGAAAGAAAAACCAGCCAGCAAGATTCCATCCTCTGCGCCACAACAAAGTAGGCCTGATTCAGCTAAAGAAAACAAGGACCCTACTGTCCCTGAAAATGGACACGAATCAGTCAAGCAATTTAGTAAAATCCCTTCGTTTGGTAAAGGGGCTAACGTCAAGCCTAAAATTCCTTCAGTACCACGTAAGGATAGTCAAACTAGCATCCCATCGACACAGAACGGGACTACGGACATACATTCCCCTGTAAGTGACTCCAATAGAAGTAAGTCATCAAGTGCTGCTCACACTCAGCAGGGTACAGGTATCCCAATGGGCATCAGTCGAATCCCATCATTCACCAAGTCACCAACGCCGTTAAAAAAAGACGACTCCGCTCCTTCTCAGTCGCGCATTCCTCCACCTTCCACGAAACCTTTAAATAAAGTTACAGATTCGAAGCTACCCACCCTAGGAGGTTCCAAAGTGTTGGAAACGGATGGACCATCTGTGACCCAGTCTCACATTCCAAGCCCTTCTTCCCCTACTCCAAATAAGACTTTCGAGTCTAAAATCCCACCTCCTGGGGGACCCAAGATTCCAGAGCCTAAGCTCTCAACCAAGTCTACACCAAGCTCATTACCAACCGCACCTAAAACAAGTGGGATACCAAAGCCAGGAGAGCAACTTCAAGGCACCAAAATTCCTGCTCATACAGGAATACCCATGGCGTCGTCTCCTACGGAGTCTAAAAACAAAATTCCCAAGCTGGCAACAACGCCCAGATCGAATGTTCCTGACGCAAACGAAGCTGCTGCTTCCAAGCCAAAACGATCGATACCAACCCTTGGAGGTAGGCAGCCGTCTATGGAGAGAGAGAGTTCGAGCCCAGCTGAACCGAGCACTCCTCCTAGTACTCCAATAGGCAAGGACGCTATGGAGTCACCCTTGGATAAGTACATCTTTTCTGAAGCTAAGAGAGTGGAGCAACTGCTGCTAGACGAACCGATGGAGGTGACAAGCGGCGCAGATGTAGAAGAAGACGATGAATTTTTAAGGCAAGAAAGAGAGATTTTGGAGCAGGAAGAGCTACAACGCGAGAAAGGACTAAAAATGTTGGATTCCAAAGAGGCCGAGGATTTGATCAGTGAGGTTTTGAAGAGCTATGCTCCAGACAAACTAGAAGACAAACAAATTACTACCGAGAAAGGCTACAATGAAAATGTTAAAGAAAAGATAAATATCGATGAAATAGTTCTTCAGCCGACCGAGGTGCAAACGCCGCCAAAACTAGGCAAAACAGGAGTAAGTACTGCTAAAGAAGATTCCGTGCAGGTGGAACAAAGTGGCGTTAAAGAGAGTGTAAGCACAACTGAAGAAAAGAAAGAGAATGCTAAAACTGTGGAAACCAAAGTTTCAGACTTAAAAATTTCTATTCCATCTAAAACAGCCGTTGAAAGTGAGATTGAAGAAAAAACTGACAAAAAAGAGACAAAGAACCAAGGACCTGGTATTAATACTTTAGGCGAATACGCCCAACAAGCTAGACTGTCGCGTAGTCGACAACGAAAAATCGTCAGTCCTAACTCAGAAGAGCCTGAGAAAGAATTTCTGGCCAATCTAGAAAAGGTAGAGATAGAAGAGGAGAAAAAACCACTGCCTAAGGAGCCGGAGAAGGAGCAACCCAAAAAAGACATCAAAAAAGACAAATTTGGTACAGCACCGTTTGAGGGTGAGAAGAAACCTAAGGAGGCTGCGAAGACTGCAAAATCCAAATCAAAAAGCGATAAACCGAAGTTTGTGATCGAGTCATCGCTGGGAAAAGATTTTTACGCCACCAGAAAATCAAGCGAAAGTGTTGCGTCTAGGGACAGTGTTCACGACGATGTCGTGAAATCTTCATTTAAACCAGAAATTTCTGCCCTGGTGTTTGAAAATAAAGTCGCTCGAGAACCGTTAACACTAAAACAGACGGACGCGTCTCCAGAGGAACATGCTATGAGCCTGGAAGAGGCGGAATTTGAGGACGTTGACTTGAATGCAGAACCTGCAATTGCGAAACAAAGGCGTGAACTTTCGCGAAGCGTGGACGATCTGGACGAGAAGACTGTGAAGTGCATGTGCGGTAGGGGAGGAAAGTGTTCCATAATGTAAACAGTCACACAAACATGTCACTGCAGCTGAATGATTGTTCGACTATTTTCACCTGTACATTTTGAGCACAATTTGTTTTATTTTCGAAGCGGGACCAGTCATTCACACCTCATTGCTTGATGAAGACTTCTAGGCTGGGTTTTCAGAGTTTTAAGCTAAGGAGAAATAAACTGAGCTTTTTTTTTCTAGGATGAGTTTATAAAAAATTGTTATTAAAATTTATGGAATTGAGAACTGTGAGACGTTTGGCCTTTTGCAGCGTTGGGGGTTTCTCGTTATGCTAACTGGTGTGACCGGGCAAACACATCCTTGTTAGGGGGGAATACCACATGAAAGGGGCGGGGATGTTTGTTTTCTCCTTTGGGAGATTAGCAATTTCTGTTTTGCTTTGGTGCCACTTAAGGTGTTAAGAGCGGGAGCGCCATTTCTTTTACATACTCAGATATCGTTTTCGGCTCTGCATGAAGAGAAAAAAGAAAGGTGACAAAAAGATTAGCGACAACTTCTTTATCATAATTAAAATTAAATTGTAACCCGATGTACACTGATCGCGGCCGCTACCACTACCAATACGCATCGCACGGTTCAGTGGCGCCATTTTTGAAAAATGACTTTTTTAAATGGTTCCCTCGCATGTGAGCTCAAGAATAACAGAGCACATGTTTTTCTGAGCCCTTATTTTTTTCAAGCCCGGCTATACAGGCTAGTATGGTGTAGGCTGGAGATTTCATATATTTTAAGACATGAAAAATGAATTGGGGTTTTGCTAGATAAACCGTGTGTGAAGGCATCATTTAACAAAAGAAGTCAGGATCTGGAAGGGCATTTTCGGGATCCGGGATTTGACTAAAGGAAACGCGATTTGACTGCGGGATTCTTCATTAAATCCCCTGAAGAAGGACGGCTTGTCCGTCTGAAATATCGGGAAACCTTAAGTCGCTTTTCTCTTTGCTGTTTTGTTATTTGTCTGCGACCCGGGAAGCGGGATTCACCTGCATTTGGGCAGGGAATGTTGGATTTTCCTGCCTGTCTGTTGGGAATTCGGGAAATCGTACGTTCTAGCGGCTAATGAGAAACAACCAGGTGAGCGTACAGTGTCTCCTATCAAAGAAAATTATCTCAACTGTCAAATACTCTACAGACGAGCGGACAGAAATCAAACCCCACTGTTTGGAAACATCCTCCTCTTCCCCTCTTCGTTTCGTCGGCTTCGTCTTAGCAAGGTATGAAAAGCTACTTCCTTTTGGCAATAGAATCGAAAGGGCCAATCTAAATCTTACATTTATAAGCTTTTGCAGCATAAAGTCCTTTTTTAACTTACGTATTTTCAACTGGAACCTGAAAAACGGGATTTGGGAAAGTGATGAAAAAAAATTAGTGCAGGATGAGAGATTTTTGTGAAATGCGGGATCAGGAGCCCCCACCCCTGCCTCCTCCAGACCCCAATAAGAGACCAAAACAGGAACCTGACCCAAACCGGTTTTTCATAAGTACGATATAAACATGGGCTTTTTTAGAATGGTGAAACGCATAGTGAAACTCGGATCACGCCCAGGCTGCTCTCTTTCTTATTTGCGATGAGCCAACCCCGCTTGTTTCACATGGGAATCACTTAATTCCCGGACACTATCCCCTTTCTAGGAGTCAAAACGTCACGGGTCTGTCACGATTCACGGTCACACGCGCTCACCACAGGTATTCGTCACGTGGAAACATTTGCAAATTCAAAGCTTAGATTTGGGTTTTTCACATTTAAAGCTTACTGATCTACGTAGCTACCGGTATTTGTCTTATTTCCAAACGAGGACGAAGCGAAGTAACTGCGTTGGGAAGGAGGGGTCTGGAAGGAGAATTCTGTAACTTGGAAACGAGCCTGGAAACGAGGCGAGCACATCCTAACTTTTTTAAAAATCAAGATGGCGACAAGGTTGTAACTTTGGTCACGTAAATTTGCCAAGGATTTTCAAAGAGACTTAATCGGTCGAAAGCAGCAGAAGTGATCGTGGGTTTCTCATATTGCGGGAAATAATTTATCAAGAAGACAGCTGTATTTCAGGTTTTAGAGATATTGAACAGAAGGCAATTTTAAAATTTTGTTTAACACGCCAAGGCAAGGACCTTCGTTTTCGGAGCTACAATCAGCTACCAACTCTCTCCGAATTTGTGTTATTCAAAGTCATCCATGGCAGATAGCGGTATAGAAACGCAAACGATTGAAAGCATTGAGCTTAAAGTGGACGATAACCCAAACGAAGACCACGTTGACATCGATATCACTCAAGTTACAGAAGAAACAGTACAGATGACAGTCGACAGTGATGAAGAGCTTAGCAAAGACGAAATGGTGATCATCACAGAGCAAGACTTGGATGATATGACAGACTCATCGAAGGAACGATCAACTGAAATTTCTGCTGACGTGAACAAAGTTTACGAAGAATGGATCTATGTGGATGTGAATAAATCCACCTTTGAAGTAAAGGAAAATTTACTGCTTCTAAGTTCAGTGTACGGCAATGGGCTTCCCTGTTGTTCAGTAATGTGACGAATAAAACGTGAGAGGTCCTTTTTCTAGTTGTTTAATTTAAGGTAAAGTAGGTAAGGTTTATAGTTCTTGTTGCTTGGCTCATAATTTAAGATAGGTTTACTTTAATGAAAGATCTATTACATTCCACCCCCCTCCCCCTCCCCCTCCCTCAGACGCATTTACTGTTATGAATTATACTTGCAGGTCGAGGGGTAGCTTTTTCGAAACTTTTTTAAACATAAGTTGACACACCAGTTTGAAATGTTAACCAGGTCTTTAAATTTAGTTGCCAGCCCAGAAGTGTTGCTGATGATTGGATTGAAAATGATGTTCATGTACAGTAGAACCTCTCTAAAACGAAGTCCAGGGTATAATGACTGATATTCTTTGCCCTAGTGATAGTAAAATACATGGAAGAGAACCTCGATATAACCAAGCCTTGTTATGGCAAACATATTTTACCAGAACCTGGCCCTTTTTTATGCTGAGGTTCCACTGTAGTACAAAAGGCCAAAGTACATTAGACACAGCACACACCACAACAGAAAGGGCTCACAGATTCACCATATTTTGTCTGGTCAGCTTACCTGCTATCTAGCAAGTCACAGGTAGTGTGTAGAGAAAAGTTTGGGTGCTCTTGTAAATGTAAGTTACAAGTTACAAAGCTTGCTCTTGATTTCTGTCAGTTTTGATAGTGAAATAAGACTTTTCCTGTAAGGTGTATCTTAGATTGACCAAGTAGATAAGCCACCCCATGCAAGAGAACTTAGGAGGCACAGTTTCCTAAAAGCATATCTGGTTCTACATAATACATCTTGTATTCTAGTTCAGTTTAGTAATTCCAGAATATATTCTTACAGAGGTAACATAAAGGTGGTAGTCCACTCAGCGTGCAAAGAAAGCAATGTCCAATAGCCTGGGGCTAATGGATTTTTCTATCAGGCTAGTGAATTCTGTTTTTAACTTGCCTGATGGGCAAGTGATATTTTTTTAGCAAACTGGAATAACAGAAGAACTGTGAAATCAATTCTGCTCATCAAAAAGCTTTTGGGGCTAGTTGAAATGACGTCTGGGCTACTAAATGCTAGCTTCAGCTTGCCCGAGTGGCAAGCTGAGAAAATGATTTTCTTTGCACCCTGCCACTTACTGAATTACTCCATGTTTACTCTCGGGTGAAGAAAAACAAGCAGAGTTGTCATTATAGGTCGTAACACTTAACACCTTTTACGGCTGAGCTCACTTGATGTTATGGGTGATCAAAGTGGAAAGCTAAAAGCAACACTATAAATTTTTGTGACATGTTAGGGTGAATCTCCATTTGCCACATCTGGTTCAAAACTAAAATTATGACAACCCTTAAAGTATAATGATAATGTTTTCAGTAAAGTTTTGTGTCCAAGGAAGCAATTAGAAGACAGAAATCACAGCTTAAAACACTTACACGTGGTTTGAAAGGTACATCATTGTCCCTACAAATGGTCCTTTTTAACCAGCAGCCCTAACAACAAGCAAAAACAGTGTACACACAAGACTAGTAATAAGCACTCATTGCAATCATTCAGTTATGTTATACCTTCCAATTCAAGTGGTTTTTTTGATTAGACAAGAATGTGTCACATGACATGTGGTACATTTGACAATTTTGGGCATTTTTTGCACTGAAGGGTTCTTGCAAAAAGGGTGCACGGAGGTTTTGGGGCATTTTCATTGTTTTTGCGGGATCAAGTAATTTTTTTCTTTTAACTTGTTATTTGTTTTATTTTTGAGTTGGAAGGAGAAACAAAACTTAATGATTGGCCTGGTCATAGGGAACAGCAGAGCTTTGTTTCCCTTGAGTGAAGGTTGGGGGTATCATAATAGTGGCCCACTTAGTTGGGTATCATATATCCTTGGTCTGAATTTCAAAACTTGTGTTTTCTAGTATTGTAGCCCGCTAGCAAGCTCTCCATGTATGGCAAGTGAAGCAAGCTGGAGAGACCGCAAGAGTGAGTGGCGAAGCCGTGAGGGGAGGACAAATCTTTCCCACCCCTCACACTTGCATCTCCTTTTGCGTGCTGCTATCGTGTGACTTCTCCAACTCCCCCAAATGGAGAGCTTGTTCACAGGCTACTTGTATCGAGGAGGAAGCCAAGAGAGATGTAGCTGTCAGCATTTTACTATTGTATTTGCACTTTTCCCTGTCACTGTTGCAGTGTCAATCCATCTATTTATTGTTTGTTGTCATCTCTGCTGTACTATGTTGCTGTTTCCAGATGTTATTTACCCTAACAGGGCCTCATAATATGTTAATAGACTGAGCTCACAAGCTATCTGTTTGAAAGAGTCTGGGAAGGGAAAATCTTATCTTGGCTTATCCAGTTATCTTTATTAAAGATTTTTGTATGAACAATAGAGTATAATCAAAACGAATTATATTAGATGTATATTTATAGAGAAAATTGTGAAATTATTAATAAAACATGACATTTACTGACATAACTGTATTAAGAGTGGGGTTTTAACATAACTGCTTTCAAACCTAACGATTTTGCCTTCTCACCAGAACTAAAACACATTCACTGAAAAGGGCTGTGTTGTCTTAGCCTGGATTTCAGACGTATCTTCCAGTTGCATACTCCCTCAGAGACAGAAATGTCTAGAATTCAGGCCAGTGTTGTTTAACACTGTCTAAAATTGTTTTCTTTAAGAAAATATTTGTCCTTGACATTTTAGCGAATGAAAGTACAAGTTTAAGCTTTCTGTTGAACCTGACATAATAAGATTTAACCTTTTATGTTAATGTTTTATAGGACATTAATAATTATTTTTGAAATAAGCTTTTCGTACCTGTTTCCCTCTTTAAGGATAAAAGAGAACAATTGGATTTTGACTCCATTTTGTTAGCTCGCTTTGAAGAAGATGGAGGCAGTGTATAAGTTTGTTTTCTCCAGACTTGAATAATATTTTAGTGTTCAGCCTTAATGCCTAGAAGTCTAAGCACTAGTTCGCTAGCAGTCCCACAGGATTGTCTCACTGGCGACTGGGGAGTACGTTACGTGTGAGCGAGGGAGGCAAACACGTGAGGGAGCTTTAGCTTCCCCTCACGCGTTTGCCTCGCTCGTTGGCACGAAACATGTTCGCCCGCGCGACGGCGAGGAGCCCCCTCAAGTAGGTTTCTAAATGGGCTCTAGCTCTAGACACGCGAGAAAGGTGAGACGCGGCGGTGAGTCTCGCCTTTCTCGCGTGGGTTGATTTTCAAGCGCGCTCACGTTTCGCTCGCTCTACTATCCCCGAGGAAAAATGGGGACAACTCGTAGTCTACTCTAGCTCTATTTTACTAAAATAAAATAGAGGGATCATAAATGGTCATAAATGCTTTTCGGTATATTTATATGTTGTATTGTAATAATTCAGTTTTAAGAGGGCTACCGTAATGGCAAAATAGAAAAGAAAAAACAGAGGACAAAGTTTAAAAGATAAAACGTCGGGTTACGCTTTTTCCGTGTAGCGCCGATTACACGTTGTGCCGCTACGCTTTTCATTGACAAACCTAGTTTTTCTCTATCTTTATCGGTCTATTGTTTGGTATTCTGCAATTTGCAATTAAGGCCAATTTTCCCCCATTTTGCAGGATTTAGAGTGAGCCAGTTGAAAATCTATATTCATACAAACATCTTTTTGCACCTGTACACATTTTTCCTCCTGTTTTCCTTTAATGGGAGGAAGAGGGAAGGCAAACTATCAATGAACTGCACCCTGCTTATAACCTATTTAGGGCCATTGGAACTGCACTAGTCAGATCATGCTCTTAGTTCTTACCGCAACCTTCTTCTCAGGGCTTTCCCTTTTAAAGGACTTTTGTAAACAGTTTTCTGACATAAACGATCTCATCCACACCTTACCTAAATCCTGAATAAATCGGATAAGAAGCTATCACGTGATGGGCTCTTGCTCGGATGGAATGTTTGCAATTTAGGGCCACGAAAAGAAATGGCGGCCCAAGGGTAGTATAAGAGTTCGTATGAGAGGTTATAGAGAGTTTGATGGGAAATAGTAATGTAGTACGAAAATTTGTACTATATTGCCCCTTACAGTCGTCTTCGCAAATAAATGACGCCTTAGTGTGACGTTCAGTTACGTCAGAGTGGATAACATCTTCCTGACTAAAGTTCATTTCCTGTTTGGCGACCGCGCGTGGTTTTAACTGAAGCGGAACTTTTCTATTCTCCTTGTGTTAGTCAAACCGTGTGTTGCTTTGTACACAACTTATACACGAAGGCGAGGAACGTTGTAAGGTAAGTGACATTTCAAATGCTTATTTGCAGCGCGTTTTCGACATTTTTCTGATGACAATGAAGAAGGTACCCAAGGATCTCGAGTCCTTTTTGTAAACAACTAACCGCCAAATAAGGCCTCAAATAAGCGAATCACAAGTGCCTGGCAATGTTGAAACAAAAAGCACCGCAAAATTAATCGTTGATATAAATAGAAATATTATTCAGTTAAGCTTTAAGGTCGTCATTTCAGAATTCAGAGAAAGAAACCGAAAAAAAAAATTAAAATAAATAAGAGCAGTAATAGGCAAATCAATGAAGCTTACTTGCTAACCGTAAACTTGAAAATTGCACATGGAAGGAGTGAAACACTTGGCGGAAGTCTTTGACAAAAAGGGGTAATGGTTTTAGTTTGCTTCCATTTAATACTACCAATAAGAGAACTAAATTTCACAAGGAAAGGAATCGTGATGATAGACCCGGAATAGTCTTAGTTTCCGCGTGTCAGCGAGCTATAGATATATATTTTTTAGCAACAAATTTTTTTTTGCAGTCTGTCTACTTTGAATACATGTAGTTCAGTGTGACATAGTTTCGCTATTTTAACAATCCGGCCAGTAGTTGGTTTATACTCAGGCAAATTTGACAAGTGCAAGGAAAGCTCTTTAAATGGTATTCCTCTGTTTTCTCACTTCATTTTAGATCCCGCTTTAAGAGGATTTCTCAGTTACGAAACCTGAGACATGTGTTCCTTTATGTGTGTGTATTGCTGAAGGTCAAAGTAGCTAGGCCACATCAGCTTTCAATCTCCTCTACAACCTGCCACCTTTGATGATAAAAACGACGATGATATAGTTTTACTTCTAAGGCATTTTGGCTAGATGTAAATCTTATAATCGAGAAGTGCTGCTAGCCGCTCTAAAAACCCGAGAAAAAGGATATTTTTTTCTACCAGTCGTACGAAACCAAATGAAGGTGGCAAATTATCCAAAGTTCCGAAAGCGTGAGGGGGCAGTTTTGTTTAGGATAATTCACCAGTCTTGAATGTTTTAGCTAAGCCACCCAAAAAGATATTCCAGCGAAAATATTCATTTGGTAGCTGAAGATAATATCGCATAATTTATTTTTTGGGCATTTTCGAATCGGTATCCTCTACTAAGGTGGTTTACAGGTTATACCTGGGTTTCAGTTTCACTGAGCAAAGGGCAGTCGCCTAATTCTCCCTATTTCTTTATTCAGACCTTGAAAAAGTTAAAATTTCACCTTATGAAAAACGGTAACGCAAGTATTGGTTGAATCACTGTATCGATATTTTTAAACACAAACTGGGAAAATATTTTCACGTCTCAAGTCTCGCAAGTCTCGTGTCCTATATTTCCGCCTTAGAAAAATACAACACACCACCTCTCTTTATCTTAAGCAAAATCATTTTTGTGTTAGTACCTTAGAAAGTATGCAGGCCGGCAGCCTACGAAGCCATATACCTACGCTTATTATTTTTAGCGAAGACCCTTGTTATAACCCTTTAGGTCCCAAGAGTGACCAAAGTCAATTTTCTCCCAACAAAATCAATACATAATCAAAGGAAAATGTTGTGAGAATTAATAAAATAATCACCTGATGGGAAAAGCTTCGATATACAAACAAATTCTCTTAACCAGTTCTTGAAGGAAATGTATGGAGATCAGTCTGGAGAATTTGTATGTGGATATTGGGGCTTAAAAGGTTGAACTGACATGTATCTCGTTTATAGCGTGCGGCAGAACACGTTCACTGCAAGCAGAGGTCTCTCAAGGCGAAGGATCGATAAGACTGTCAACCAACAGGTTATGACCTCACTTTCGAATGTCAGCAAAACGCAAGATCGTTTTGCAATATTGCGGCGCCGATATTCGCTGCCGGGTTTTTGTTATGATTTCTCTACTCTATTTCGTGACCATTGTATACTGGGCCACCTACGGTCGAATTTGAAATTCAAGTTGTCGATCATCACAAAAATAGTTTTCACGAGTTTTCTGATAAATCACTGGACAGGAAATGATTTGGGTAGGTTCTGCACCCAGCCTTAATAACCTCGATATAGCGAACCTCTATTTAACGAAGTCCTCGGTATAACGAACGATTTTCTTTACCCCAGTAGTAGTAAAATATATGAAAAAGAACCTCGATATAATGAAACCTCGTACAAATGTTGCCAGTCCCTTGGCCCTTCTTTACATCGAGGTTTCACTGTCTTCACTGTATAAAGGCGATAAAAGAACCCTTTAAAAGGAAACAACGCTGGAATAGGATAGAGGGAGAAGGAGAGTATATTCGAAGTTCTTTAACTTCATTTCCAAGGCGTCCATTCCGGTTTACAGAATAGTGATTAGCACTGCTGTCTATCTTTGGAGACACACAGGCTGAAATTAATCACCACATAAATTATGCAATAATAACATTATATGTGGCATATTTTATGTGAACTGTTGATTAGTCTATTGCGTAGAAGCTTCAACATTATTTTTTGGAAGCAGAATTTTAGTAATCTGAGTCTCATTTGAGTAGGCTTAGCGCGTGATAGAAGGACAGGCACAACGAGAGAGGTACTAGTTTTCTTTCTCCTCGCGCGCGCGTCTTCGTTTCACGTGGCTGGCAGTATTGCTGTTTTTTTGCGCTCAAATTTTTCATGCACCTGTTTTGCAAGGTGTAAGTGGACGTAATATAACATGCAAACTCAACCCACTCTTTCACAAATGAGTCGCTCTTGGAGGAACACATCACATCAATCAATCAATCAATTAATCAATACTTTTGTTTTATGACCGACATCCTCGCCTGCAATTCTTTAGTTTAATTATTTATTGTCGGAAAGAAAAAAATAGCATAACCTTTAAATGTTGAGAATAAAAAAAATATTACGTACACAAGTCATGAGCTATGTAGAAACTTTTTACGTTTGGAACATTGAAAAGTCGATGAGCAACATGAAGATCAGTATGCGGCAAGAAAAACAATTAATTGCCTCCACATCCTGGCTATAAGATTTACACCTTAATTTACATAATTAGCAAGCCGCTGTAACTTAATTAAGATGAAATATTTACATTTGCAAGAGTAATTTTAGATTCCAACAAGTTTTGCATAAGCAGTGCCAATTTGTCTTTAAAAGTGAACGACGCCTTTAGCCAGGTGGCTATCCAGCCGTCTAGTGGACGGCCGCTTTTTGGGAAAAAATAAATACAATAAAAAGCACATCTTGTTGATTCTCAGTCAGTGATTTCAGACCCCCCTGGTAGAATGAGGCCTTTGGCCCCTTATCAATTTGTGGACGGCCATATACTAATATTTCTGGCTAAAAGCTTGTGTTTTTGTTCACAGACCTTATTCGTAATTTTTGCAACACCAAGAAAAACCCGCTTAGTCCAAAAGAGTAGCAAAATTAACTTTTCTTTAGGTTTATGTTAATTAGCCCTAATTGCCTCTATTGCATATGCAGAATTCAAAAGAACTTTAAACTTGAAACGAGGCATATGAAAACAAAAGAACAACTTAATTTGCCACCGTTGTCCATTCCCATGAGCTTTATAAAAATATTGTGTAAACGAATCGGCTTTTTTTGTGTTGCAGGAAAGCAAGTAAAACCAGAAAGCTCGTCAATGACTCGAAAGAAGGACTTAGTCGGTCCTGCCTGTCAAATTACGTGTTGTATCGAAACGAACGGAAGCCTTTGTGGAAAGCGAAAACCTCTTCATACAATCGAGGACACTCTTAGCGTAGATGAGGAAAACCACAATAGCCAGCTAACTGATTCAAATGCTCTGAGAAACACTCTTAACACAGCAGATTTGACTCCTGCTGAACTCACTAAAGACAAAGAGGGAAAAGATCGCAGCACAATTAAGACGGAATTTAAGTACGTAAGTCTGCGATCTCAGTTGAAGAAAAAAGCAGAATCAGGTGCAGTTAGGTACAATCGACGGATACAGAAGTGTTACTTTGGAATAATGAGCAAAGACAAGGTTGGAGTCGTACCAGTTAGTCATACCAAGAGTGTGGATAGATGTCATACAATGAACAAAAATGCCCATGGAATTTCCGAAAGCTCGGTGTTCCTTTCACCGATTGGCGAATGGACGATCATCGATCTAAATCCTAAGATTTTCGAGAAAGAAGATGCGCAGAGAACGCTTTATTTAAGAAGGAAAAGGGCATCGTATAAGGAGGTAGAACCAGAGAATATTTGTAGGATTCTATAACAAAAGCAGCTTTTATGAGAGCGACTTAGATCTCAAGCCGCTTTCACCTGTAACCACCATTAGTACTGTTTTTGTTGTTTCTCAAGTTTGATTTAGCACTGATATTTGTTAGGCGTAGAGCAAGCGTCGAACTTTTCATGAGACCAGCCAAACTCTAATTTGGGTGGACCTAAGTTAAGTTAAGATCTTCTTTTGGGTCAGACGTCGAACTTAGGACGCGTCGAATCTATCAAAAGGCAATTTCAACAAATATCCTCCCAAACGAGGCTAAATATACATTATCATACAAATTTTTAATTTATTAGTCTAGTTCGTCGCATGTGAAGATCGACGTTTGTCTCGGAGACGATCTTCAGACGTTCTGTCCGTCTGAAGCAGACGGATCGAATGTGTTGGACGATCCGAACTCATTCAGACGAACTTAACTGAGCCAGACGTCGAACCGCGGTTCATAACTTAACTTACTAAGTATGGAAAAAGTTTGACGTTTGGCCTTGAACTCAGCCCAGGAGATTGGATGGTTATCACTTGACGAAAGGCCCGGATCTGACACTGTTCTTCGCATAAGCCGAACACAGTTTGTGAAGTTTGGGTCGACCTATATAATCAAGTTCTCTTGCTGGGTTAAAAACTGTATAACAAAAAAAGTTGCATCGCAAGTCTATTTGCATAGCAGCTTTGCAAAACAAATTCACTTGCATGAGTTGGGTTCATGTTAAGGGCAGCCTTTGTAAAAAAGGCTAATTATCTTAGACCGCGGCAAAAATGCCCCGACAAATTTAAAATCTTAGCGACAGATAAATGGTTTTCTAATCTTCTTGACACTGATCAAAATAAACAATGTTTAGATGCTACGATTGGTCAATAAGAAAAGACTTTGCGCAAAATACCGCGTTCGCCTCGCTTGGCTCTTAAAGCGCCTGTTATGCCGGCCAGTTGAACACTGGCTGATATCTGTTTTAGGCTGTCGTAGGCTTAAAGGGGCAGGGAGATGGGAGGGATAATGTCGATACTCAAATATTGCGGTGGTTCAATTTTAGCCTTGGTTTGAATATATGTAATGTTCCTGTTGTTTTCAACTACGGCTCAAGAACAACAATAAGTTAAAAAATATTAGTTCTTCGTGACATCTCTATAGCTGACAAAAAAAAGTTGTTTCGCCTATCATCTCCGATACTCCAACAAGCGTGATTATAGTAAGGTCGGAAATAGCTTATGATGTCAGTTTAGAGGGTATGAATTTTATATAGAATGATTAACTAAACGAAAGCTTTCGGTTCGATTTGTCGACACTGGGACGATGCTCTCTGACCATTGTTCAAAGGTCACAGATCTCAATAGTCCTTGTTCTCACACAGCAGTGTTTTCTTTTAAGTAGAGGATTGTTGATTTTTTGCAACAGAACTTGTCTTGCTTTTCGTGAATTGTCTTCATGACCATCATCATTTGTTTTTCGTTTAGAACGGTTGGTGAGGTAGACAGCTTTTTAATTTAATAACTTAAATTATTTATCCAAAAGTATTTAGCTAGAAATATTGAAATAATTCTTCAAAATAAAAACAGATACGTATCAGGCTACATTTTTGAAATCAATCATTTGTTCACGGTGTTATAAATCGAGCGTCAGAGCAGCGTGCAATTTCATCAGTGCGAACCACGTACAAGCGCCGCGCTAAACATTGAGTCCCAGGTATAGCACCCAATGTTGACGTAACGATATTTTTGTCCTTTGACTATTAGAAACATATATGAGATATTTTCCTGTCGCCACTGAGCTATAAGCAGAGCTATAAAATTTGTACCTGTTCGGTCATCCTAGAGAAACTTGAGTTTTTTCCAAATTACTAGGGCTTCATTATGATTTTTCTTCCCGAAAATATTTAGATGTATTTTAACTTATTACGAAAGTGAGAATTTTTCTGATTCCTCTCTCCGTCACATTTTTGAATCCGAATATTTTACGTTTCCTTTTGTCTAGGAAAAAGAGCCTTACCTGGGGAGTGAAATGTGAAAACTCAAACGTCAGAAAATCGTAGGGAATTTATTAGATAAGACACGAAACTTGTACAGGAATGGAATGGTCATCTAGAAATGTTTAGCCGTCCTCAAGTAATAGAAAATTCTAGGCAATATATTTGCTTCTCCGAACAGTTATTTTACAGCAAATAAGTCGTTGGGTGCCCCTGATTTCTCTCCGTGTGCTAACCGGTAAGAATTGGTCTGTTTTGAAGCACTCAACGAATTATCGGAGACCCAATGTTACAATGTCCTTGCCCTACGAATGGTAGGCTTTGCTCATGAGTCGACTATTTTGATATATTTGTTGCGAATTGTAAGTTAGTCAGTCTTGATTTCTCTTAGTATTCTAAATGGCAGGAATTGTTTGAAAAACTCAACGATGTCTTTATCAATGTCTTTGGCCTAAGAATGCTAAGAGATTCTAAGAGCGATTGACGTGCCCACTCGTTCAGGATTACTCCGAGCATTTGCCTTGGGGTTCACTCCTTCCGCCAGTAACAGAGAATTTGACCAACTGCTTTGAATTCCTTTTCTCCCTGGTTTACGCTTTCAGCAGAGTATGATATTTTAAACTGCAGTACATTTAAATCATTTACTTACTGACTTAGTGTCTACTAAAAGAGATTACATCAGCTGCAAAATTGTTCTATTTTACTTCAACTACTTTTACCTTTATCTTGAAAAGAGAGAAGGAGATAAAATAAACTTTTTCTCACGCAGTCTTCACCCGGCCAAAACATTATAAAAGTTGCAAGATCAAACTCGTAGATAAGTCGTTTTTAGTTTGAGCTTATTCCGCGAAAACATCGTCCAAAATGTTCACATTTAAAGCAAGTCCAAGGTACGTATAAGCCACTAATGCCTCAGTTATTTCCTTCACATGCCTCTCACGCGTACTACACGCTGACACACCCACGCTACTCCCTTCAATATAGTGGCTTGCCTGTTCAGACTTTAACTGGTAAGTGATCTGTTCCAAACATTGCGTTATAACCTTGAACTGACGATCTAAATCAAGCTGTAAAATGGATTTCAGCACACAGTAGTACGACGCTTGAAACCATTCAGTTCGGCACGACTTTTTTTTACGGCAGGTCCTGCCGTGCCTCACCGCAGAGTCTACCGCAGAGGCCCGACTGACTTAATGATTTCAAAGGGCGTGCTCCAGTCAGGCGAAACTGAATACAAAAATCTGTATTTTGAGTTATTTTTTAGTTATTACCGCTTTACGTAAGGTTTGTTTTATCGTTTTAATATTGTTTTGAATTTGGTTTCTAGTGAAGTGAAGGTAACCTGAAATTTAGGGGTTCCAGTCTGGTCACTGAGTTTGAGTTTGTTCCAATGAAGTGTCAAAGAGTAAGTCAGATTTCCGCGCAGATTGAGGTCTTCATCGAAAGCATTCTTACTTCTAAGAGGGAAAGCGACCCTGGCAAATTGAAAAAATTCCGGCTAAGGCGAACAACCGTTATTGACGCTCAAGCAAGAAAATGACTTGGACTGCTCGTAGTTAGTTGTGACTTCTGCCTCAGTACTGCATGTTTGTGGCTGATCCTCATGATGAGGATCAGCCACAAAATTTCTACCATATTCGATAGAAGATATTATCTATTTCTTCTAAACTTTAATCAGAAAGCAAATTTAACTCTCAAACTTACTTTTAACGGTGTTAGTGGAAGGTTATCGTGGTGGAAAAAATATAATAAGAGAATCGTTTGTTTGCTGACGATGTCGTCACTTGAATGTAGATTGCTCTAGAAATTACATCTCAAAACATCTCAAGAGACTGCACTGGGGGGCCGAAAGATAATTCCCTTTTTTGCTACGATATGTACTATTTTATTTTTTAATACAAATGTGGCATCAGTGAAAACTAGTTGTCTTCATGCACTTTGCACTTTTGACACAACAACTACGTATATCAAACGAGTTACATATTTCAAAAATCGCGTCCAAGGTACACATTCCGGGTATGTTAACCGACATTACAAAAGTCGGGTTAACTTCGGCAAAGTTTCCACTTTATTAAAAGTCAGGCGTTTCACAAGTTCAACCTTCGTCTTCTATATTTCATGTTAGGTAAGTCCTTCGTAATAACTTATTTCCCTTAAAATTTTCGTTGTCGTAAACAATTACTCCTCATACGATCGCACATCTTGCGTTTTCTATGTCGCATTTAATTCCCTTCCTCTTGATTAGGCTATAAACTTAACCTTGATACTTGACTGTCATACAAAATTTTTAACGTCAGTTCTTTAACGTTTCAGTTTTTCAGTTTTTCATGGTAAAAATTTTTTTTACTATGATTACTACTGATGAACGCACACGTTTTACACTGCACTAAGAAATTTTTCGTTATGTTTATTCGGCGTAAGTGATAGCTATGTATGATTGATTACTTACTGATATTTGTCGAGGAGTTGTCATTTGTATTCATATCAATAAAATCACTTTGTACTATTTGCCAAATCTTGTCCAATAGTCGAGTCTAATCAGGTCTACTTTTTTCAATTCTCGTAAATTGATCACGTGTGGAGTGCAGACGTTCTTACATGTAAGAAACGTATTTTCTTTTCCATATTTCTGCATAAACCGAAACGAAATTCATTGAAAGCATATCTATCAACTCATTTTCTTCAAGGGACGACATTTTTCTGGGTGCTTGGATATTTAGACAGGCAGTTTGAATTAAGTCCTGGACTTTGGTCAGGACGCTGACGCAACCCATTTTCCTTTTGTTATTATTTTCACTGCAATTAACAATACTGGAACAGAAGAACGGATGATAACTTAAGAATAATCCAGTTCAACTGTCACTCAAATTCGGTAGTCAGGTATTATAAAAAGATCTCGCTAGATAACGACGGTCAAAGTTAACCTGCGATTGAAAGCGTTCGAGCAAGAAGCCGGCTTGCAAATGGCAGAAAGTAATTCTTCGCGCAACCTTGTTGGACTCTTCCAGAAGAAAAGCGAGAGACGAAAAGAAGACAACCCCAGTGTAGATAAGAAAAAAAAGCACAAAAGGAGATACTCTGTAAGACTCATAAAGGCTTGGAAGTTCGATAAGGTTGAAAGTGAAATTGATCCAAGTCGTACCGGCACCGAAGGTAACGGGGCGAGAAATACCGTGGACACTAAAGCTTCATATGAAAAGGAAAAACCGAAGAATACGCGCCGAAGGTTGCCGTTCGGAAAGCCAAGGGCCGTGGGACAAAAAGAGTTGAGTTCATCCGAAGATACAACAGAGGCCGTGGAAGATGAGGAAGCTCCCCTTCAGTCAGCGCCGACGAATGAACTGTGGAAATCGAATGAACACCAAAGTGATTCAGAACAGATTGAAATAAGGGAGTTGGAAGACGATGGAGAGGAAGAACTGAGTTGCCAGGGCGACACAGTGCCCGAAGTTCCTCCCGAAGAAGAAGTTAAAGAAGTATTGCTAGAGATGGTTGCAGAAATCGGAGTTTCGTCACAAGACCTCATCCCGGATGTTGCATCTGAGACGCAAAAAAATGCGGGCATCTCAACTCCTAATACTTGCCCAGACGAAAACCCCGCGATCGTCCCTAATCCCGAGGAAGAGCCGAGTGGCTTCGAGGATAAGATAAGTCCGTTAAAAGAGCTAATGTTTAATGAAGAGCGAGCAAGTCAAGTTGATGCAATCTCCTCAAAGTTCCATTGCGAAGTCTGCCTGTATGTATATGATTTTAGTATCGGTAGTTTGATTGGCGTGTGGAGTTTCGTCGTTGGGCTGGCTAGAGATGCTACGAAACAGGTTTTCTTGTATTTCATTTCCTCTTTGATCAAGCAGTACCCCCACTGTTTCAAAGTTCAACTAAAGAAAGGAAAACGCAGAAGCCAAACGGCAAAGCCGAAAAAGGTTACATTCAGTGAAATAATTTAGGAACAGTAGGTCGAAAACAAAGAGTGAATAATGCTTGTGCCTGCAGAAACAACGGACGGCGTTTGATCGACGCTTCTGGACTTTGATATTTACCCTTAATAATCGACAATAATGCAAGCACAGCATGTCTATTAAGGTTAGCCGATAGTTTCCCGCGCTAAACATCAAATTCCACGCATATTTGCAAAGTAGGCCTTGATTGGTCACTGAATGATTTGATTCACTGAAGCCACACTTGAGGCATGGTTCCGCGCACGTGACTCGGTTTTATGCTCGCGTGCCGCAAACGTTTTTTTTGTTTTAAAAACTTCAGTAGGTTGAATGGCGAGAAAAGGCTTATCTTCTCTGCTAAGTAGCTTTGACTGTAACGACCTACCTTAAGCGGGCTCTCGAGTATTCGTCACGCAGTCGTTAAAATAACTTAGTGACGAGTCCGCGGGAGGCTACAGGCTAAGCTAAAAGAGATTTAAAATATCCAGTTATAGATTGTACAGATACTCCTTCTAAACTCCTTGCAACCTGATTATATTTATAACCTTTTACTATGTGTTTACCTGTGTTTAGACTTGAGTTTGTAGTTATCATGAATTTCAAGTAAGCTCAACTCCCGAACACTAGACCGGCCGGGTAAACTGTATGTCTTATTTGAGTAGATCATACTTGTGCCCAAGTTACTGACAACAACCGTTGCCGAAAATCAGTTTTTATAGTTACGTGCCCTTTCGCTATTTAAAGACTGTATCATTTGTTTCATAACTGAAATATAGAATGTAAATAAGAAGGCAACCACCGCAAGTTTATTTGTTAAGTAGCTGACTTTTGAAAATAAAATATAATGCTGTTTATGTATGTTGAAAATTGTTTGTATTGCACTCATTACCGAACAAGTGACTTGCTCCCTGTGTTTAACAATAGAACTTGGGGTCAAGGACGCTTTGTTAGTTTTTTATTTGTTTTGGAGAGGAGAGGGAAAATGAACTCTTTCCCACGAGAGACATTTAGGTCATATGTGGATCAGATATAGGCATGATCGCAGGTAGGTTAGACCAGATCTGAAACTTATCACAAAGTTGTTAGGCTAGAGGGGAAGGGCGCTTATTCAAGGTATGGGGGTGGCCGTACAGTGGCTGGCCAAGGGGTTCTGCGACTTAACTCTACTTCACGTTGTTTGATCAGTCCCTGCAAAAGTCTTCTTGACTGTAACGTTTTCAATTGTTATTTTTCAATGAAATAGCTAGTCCAAGAGACTGCAAATAAGATAACAATTCTGTCACATTCATCTGTCTAAATTATTTTGGATACTTCTTTTTTACGAGGGAGTCAAAAGTTCCCCTGTCAAATTTGCCTACTACGCAGTCACGTGTTTTCTAGAACCTGCATGGGCCGGCTATGGACGACAAAGCTATCAACGCAATACATTTACGCAACTTGTGTTGCAGAGGCCAATCGAGGCAACAGCACATGGGGCGTGTACAGGGTATGCAACTGATTTTCTCTGTCACGAAACATAACTTGAGCGGAAAGAAAGCTTCGCCATTATCCTGATTTACACTTTGTAGGAACTACAACATTAAAATCATGAAATATGGTGGAACTATCACACTAGCATTACACAATTAAATGGTTACGTAATTTTAAACATGTTAAACGGCGAATGTGTGACAAGACCCTTCTTTATCCGATCCCCAGGAGGTCAAAGGAAATATGTAACAATATGACAATCATGTCAATTTTTAAAGATTGCGTGTTTCCTAAAATATCAGGCACCAAGAGTCTGAGGGTCAGATCAGTTCTGTCTGTCTCGAGACCAGGTAATCAAAGGATTTCAGTTTCTTGAGGCACATCGCGTGTAGACATCGTTTAAGAAGAAAAGAGAGAAAACCTCTGGGATTCGGGTGAGTTAGTAATGTAAGAATTTCGCNCGTGTACAGGGTGTGCAACTGATTTTCTCTGTCACGAAACATAACTTGAGCGGAAAGAAAGCTTCGCCATTATCCTGATTTACACTTTGTAGGAACTACAACATTAAAATCATGAAATATGGTGGAACTATCACACTAGCATTACACAATTAAATGGTTACGTAATTTTAAACATGTTAAACGGCGAATGTGTGACAAGACCCTTCTTTATCCGATCCCCAGGAGGTCAAAGGAAATATGTAACAATATGACAATCATGTCAATTTTTAAAGATTGCGTGTTTCCTAAAATATCAGGCACCAAGAGTCTGAGGGTCAGATCAGTTCTGTCTGTCTCGAGACCAGGTAATCAAAGGATTTCAGTTTCTTGAGGCACATCGCGTGTAGACATCGTTTAAGAAGAAAAGAGAGAAAACCTCTGGGATTCGGGTGAGTTAGTAATGTAAGAATTTCGCTAATACTTAATGTATGAAATGCTAAGTAAATATTACGGTCATTGAATGGAATTTAGCGTGGTACGCTTAAGATTTCACTGTTAGAAGCGCCCTACTAAACGTCACTGTAAACATACTGTATGTACGTATCGATAACATGGCTTGTCAATGAGCATAGTTCTACTAAAACATCGGAAAAGATGTTTGCGGATAGTATAACTGCTAGCAATAGAGGAAGATAATTTTAGCAAGCTGCATGTTTTATTTCCGCCGTACAGCCTGTATAACTGAAACTTGAAGAGACTCATTCTTCACGTAAAGATAAAGAATCTAGGATTACACCTTCGCCGAATTACGTTGACTTCGTTTTTTTCCTTTGACTGTTTCAAGCGATTATTTTTCTCACTTTCGCCCGACTTATATGCTAATTTCAAACAGGGCGTGAAGCACGTCTGGGCACAATTTCTCTTTGTTTCGAGATTTTTGCACGCAAACGGTTATTGTAAAGACGGAAAATATTCTAATCAAGTGATACGCCATTTGTTGTTACTAGTAGGTTTGTTTTGAAACTTTTTACTGAGTCATTGGTAATAGCTGGTCTCGAGATCGGTGGCTGTTTGTACTGTGACAGAGACAAGCGCGAACACAACTTTACAGCGGCCAGAACGAAAATTCTCTCCAGGGTAAGGTGCGGAGTTGTTTTGACCATTTAAGTTTGGGAGGTTTTCTAAAAACAAATTCCTGTTAAGCTTTTGCAGAAGAAAAGATATCGGCATGGTGAATCACGGTAACAGAGATCTTGCGTAAGAATGAAAGGTGCAAAAAAATTCGTGTAAGAAGAAAAAATTGCCCAACACCCTCCATGATCCCAAATGTGCTTACCCCAGCGGGAGCACTAAAGACGTGCATGGTAAAGACACGTGGCGAAACACACTGTTCGGGAGAGTCTTTTTTGAAACAGAGCAATGTAAAGGAGAATTGCAGTTTGGTTTATGAAAAAAGTGTATTTAGAAAACCTAAATATGGCATGAGTGTTATCATACACACAAAAGACAGAAAACGGTTTTCTAAATTCGAAAGGATTCTAGAAGGGATACCTTGCGCAAGTATTGAGCTCCCCAGACATCTCCTATTTCGTTTGTTTCATGCGGCACATAATAATACAGTGTATAATTTAGGGACGAAACATTAGAAAAGTTAGGGGAGGGTAAGCAATTTTCAAGGCGCATGAATTTCCCTTGTACGAATTTTTTTAGGCCTTTGCATGAATATTTTTTAGGTTTATTTGGCATGCATGACTTTTTTTCATTTTTTTTTTCCTTGTACTTCGCCCTCCCATAAGTTTTCTCATGGTCCGTCCCTTATATTCCACATTAGCCTGCGAATAGGACCATTTCTAATCGCTGCTAAAAATGGGATTGTCCCCCATCCCCGCCCCGAGACGGGGTTATTTGTAGACACGACTGGCTTTCCAAAGTTGCTCTCTTTCACAATGCCGTACTCGTAGCCAAATCTAAAGGTCGCTTGATGATCTTCGCTCTATTGGTTGTAAGCCATGACTCAAGGGTCGTATTAGGCACTTTTTGAGCCACCCTTGGCAATTACACCGGCTTCAAATGTTATTTTGTTCAAGCATGAACCTTTCCGCCGCTTCTACTTAGTTTTTTTTGGACAAAATAGGCATTGCGTTCTGTTTGTATGACACATTTCTTTGATTTTATACCTCTCATACAAGAGCAATGAGATGATGCGCCATATATGAAAAAGGGCTGGAATTAGTGTGCCGATTGAGAGCTTAAATTAAAAAATTCTACCATTTCTCCGTGAGTCAGTTTTCAATAAAAACAATTTTTTGAAAATACCATTCTTCCTACTAACCTAAGTACGCCGGAAAATGAGTTGATTACATAATTTCAGTTTGTGAGTTCTTAATCGTGTAAACTCTAAACCCTATACACTATGGACTAGGCATTCGAAGTCCAACAGATGTTCTTAAAACTACGTATATGAATTATTTTAAGCATTAACGAAAAAATGATGGTACTATTGATTTATGGCACAAACTGATTTTACCAACAAAATCTCGGTTATTCTCGATAGGGCTTTTCTTCGTTTGCAAGCTGTCCGACTAAAATGGAGCCGTTTGCGCACTGAATTTCACTATTTACAGGGAGGTTTAAAAGAACTACGTACAGAACTTATACGAGAAAACGAGAGGAAAAAAAGGAAATTTGTTTAAGCTGATTTGATCTCAAAATGTTGTGTGCATTGATCAGCGCATTTTTAACTATCATTTATTGAGTCGTGTCAGGGCCTTTCTGTCAGTTTTTGTCAATTTCGAGCGATTCTCTCCCGAATTTAGACAAACTCGGGTGTCACTCGATTCAATCAGCAGACAGTGATGAAGAAATAACTTTTTGAGGACAGTTCGTTGTCTCTTTTCTGATATGATTAACATGATTGTCAATGGAAAAGTAATATACAACGTGTACAAAAATAATAGTTCGTTGAAAACCCTAAACGGAATAGAATATTTTCAGTGCTGGATCTTTGTTTTAGCTTGTTATTGATTGGATAATTTTTTACAATTAGGCTTAAGGGGCATTTGTATTCGAAGTGTTTTCTTTGCAAGAGTTGAAAAGAGG